ATTAAAAAATTTTTAAAAATAAAAAGTTTTGGGCCCTTTTAATGTTTTTTTCCAAAAGTTTTTCACCAAAAAAAAAAAAAAAAAAAATAGGCTAAAACTGTTATTAGCATATAATAAGCAGTAGAGTTTTAATACGTAGACTTCTGCAAGCAGTTTGTATACAGGGATACGTCTTGATACCATCTTGGTTAAGGATTTTTATTTTTATTTTCTTTTGTTATAGACTTTTTAAGTTATTTTTAATGTATAGGCTCAGTGATTGTGGTAGGTTCAAATAATGATTCCTGTGAAATCAAACATGCTCGGGCTCGTTGTTGTGCTCCTTTCCCGACGTAAATGTAACCCCCCCCCCCTTTTTTTTTTTTTCCAAATAACTCCTTTCCTCCCTTTCCCCGCAGACACCAGAAGTCGAGCTGATAAGGAACTCCAGCTGAGCGACCTGGACGATTTTGACACGCTCGAGTCTGAAAGCTCTGAGTGTGAGATGAAGCATCGGTACCACATGAACACGCACATGTCGACGACAAGCGACTGCTCCGCCGAGCACCTCATTAAGAACGCGTCTCTGAAGATCTCTGTTCCGGTGCCTCTCGGCGGGGAGCAGGACTTGGGTAAAACCTGCATCAAAACGAGTCCGGAGGACTTCCAGCCGGACAGCATGCAGCAGCAGCAGCAGCAGCAGGCTAAGTCGTGCTACACTCAGCAGCAGCAGCAGGGTCACCAATTATTAGACGGCAAGCCTCGAATCTGGTCTTTGGCACAGACAGCAACGTCCCTGAACCAGACTGAATATCCGTCCTGCATGCTGAGGTGCCAGGCGCCGCCCTCCTCACTCACCGAGTCCCCCGCCGCCACTTCCCCCGTCACCGTCTTGGACAACCGGCAGGACTCGCCGGTCACCACGCTGAGGAACTGGGTGGACGGGGTTTTCCACGACCCCCTGTTCAGGCACAGCACTTTGAGCCAGGCTCTGACCAACACGACCGTCTCCTGGACCACGAACACCAAAGGCAGCGTGCTGGAGGCGGAGAGGAGTGCGGCCGCCTTGCAGCAGCACCAAGACCCGCCCAAAGACAGTGCCATGAGTTTCCCAAAAACTATCAACAAACTTTTTTGCTCCTAACGTAACTAACTCACAGATAAAGACTTCTTTTGGGACAAAAAAAAAAAAAAAACCGAGGTGGATAAGCCTGTTAAGTCTCCACGATTCCTTTATGTTTTATTATTTTTATCTGTATTCATAAACTGTTACAGACGTAAAACATCCGGATCAGTTGATTCATTTAAACCAACGCACGCACAAAATTAAATAATAATTAATAATAATAAAAAAAATGTATAAATAACAGTTTACAACTCGAAGGGGAAACAAAAAAAAGTAGACCTGCGATTATTATTTAATTATTTTTTTCAAGATTTCTTTTACTATGAGCATGCAAATGTTAATAATTAAGCATAATTTAAGTCTCAGCGGATGAGAATCACTAAAGAAGAAGAAGAAAAAAAAGTCTCACATGTGCACTGCTCTCTCTGAAGAAGTGACTGAGAGCGTTTCGACTTTGTTCACTGGAAATAAAAGCAGTCGCTTTCTGAAGACGAGCTTGTCATGTCGGGTTAATGCTGAGAGTTGCTGTCCAGGGTGCTGAAGACGCTCTTTACTCCAGAAAACGACTCCTTCCAACTGCGGGACGCTTAAAACTTACATTTATACATGCCATTCAATTTCTAATCATTCCAATTCAGACGCCTTTCTTTTACTGTCACTTTTAAAGGAAAACATCAATTTCTATTTAATGACAGCTTGTAAATAAAGCAGATCAAAGCACGAGGCAGGCCAATGTCTGTATCTAAGATCTGCCTCATTAATTCCCTCTAAACAGCCTGTAATTGGGATGTTTGCAGTCATATTTCATGTCAAGCTATTGATTTCTTCCCTCACCTCTCTTCCCTCTCTGATAATATTATCGAGACAGTTCAGCATATCATCCACCGCGGGGCTGTCAAAAGGGTAAGATATTCTAACAGCTTCAAACGGAAGTCATCTGAAGAGCTGAATTTATGTTCAGGTTCTGCAGAGTCTGTGTGGGGCCCCAAACACAATTTGATTTGATTTCTCCAACTACAACCACTCGTGTTGGGGCCGTGTGGATTGTGTCAGAGCTTAACTCGATTATTCCAAACCAAACAGAAATTAAAAATAAAAAAATAAAAAAAATATATGTATATCAGAGTTGTGGTTTGTGTGTTTTGGTCGTTAGTGTGAGATCAGAAGCATGGTTCCCCGAGAGGCTCGTCCAGGGCACCATTTGTGCAACAATGGCCACTGTCATACTTTGACCTGAACACTTTGACCCCACTGACTTCCATACGAACATTTTAAACAACAGGAGCAAACAAAGAAGGAATAAAAAATACATTTGTCAACGTGATTCATGCAACAATTTTAGCGCCTGTATTGCCATCCCTGTTGATTTTGGAGCCTCAAGCAGGTTTTTCTTTGCCTTCGAGATGAGGCTCTGCCATGTCCACACTTCCATTTTTCAAGAGGAAGGACCCCACAAAGAAAAACAAAAACAAAAATAAATAAGAATAAAATAAAAATGAAAACCTGATGCTGACTCCCCTTCTGAGAAGTGTGAAAGGTTTTTTTTTTTCTTTTCTTTTTTTTTTATGTGAGAGGCTCTCACGTCGTCTAAAAGTGAAAAGGGCAAGGGAACTCAAATTAGTTGTTGTAGATAAAAGGGCAAAAAGAAAAGGAGTCAAGGGTACTTGACAGTAATGGCGAAAGTGGAGCTCTCGGGGGACCCTGTCTGTCCTGTGAGAGAAAGAGGAGGAGGGCTTTAGTGATGAATTTTAATAGGAAAAGAGCCAACAACTGAGATCTGCTTCTTTTTTTTTTTTTTTGAGCGAAATAAACATCTATACATAAGAGCCTTTATTAGGATTCTATTCTTTCTCTCTCACTCTTCACTTAACCCTATTTGTCTTGCACATGAAATCGCTCATGACGGAAATTAGCAAATAATAAAGAACAGACAGTCTCGCCTTCTAATAAATTTAGCACGAAGACCAGGCCTCGAAACCAAACGGCCTTTCCAACCAGAGACAGAGAAATAAGGAAACGCAAGAGGAGGGAGAGGAAGGGACAAATCCTGTGTGCAGAAAGGCAGGGCTGGTATAACCAAATCAGTCAGCCGTGGTAAATACGAACGCACAGAGGGAGCGTGATGGTAAATTAACAGGAGCTTTTTACATAGAGGCCAAATAAAACTGCAATCAGTGACGCGTTACTTTTCATTAAGCCGCTTTGACAGCAGCATATTCCGCCACTCCGACACAGGGAGCAGGGGGCCCAGGTTGGAAATAAACTGCTCTCGAACCGAGAGTCATAAGATAATTCCTTAAGCTCCATTAACAACTCTTAGCCGCAGGAAATGGGCTCCCCCTGAAAACATCTCCAAATCTAAAAGCTTTATCGACCTGGCAAACCTCAGCTGATGGCTTCTTTTTTTTTTTTTTTTTTTTCTTTTCCTAACCTCCTCCCCCCTGCCCCCCACACACCATCCACCCCATCTTACCTCTCACTCTCTACACCCCCTCCCTTTTTTTTTCTTTTTTCAACTTAAGGGACAGAAACGTCCAGCTGAGGTAATAGACTTTGACACAACACATTAAATGGGAAATGAGAAAAGGGAGAGGAAAGGGCACTCTTAAACGCCTTTTAAACATTACCAATTAGAGGTTTTAAACTTGAATAAGATGTAGGCCTTTGGCACATGCCAGGGTGATGGGACATTTAGCTGATGGGCCAGGCCAACTTGGTAAAACCAACACCTATCTAAGCACATCATTCCGCCTGTAACGGGAGAATCATATGATTGTAAACTTCATTTCACTTCTATAGGAAAAAAAACAAAACAAAAAAAACATGGATATTTGCCATTTAAAAAAACTTAATATAAAAGCAACACAACCTCCTTCTAAAATTTCTTAAATAATCTTTCCAGCAAACATTTTGGTTCGTTCACTGAAAGCCCACAAATGACCAAAGATGCCAAACGATCACCAGTGTGGCGTTTTGCCCCAGAGGGAAAGGCAGCCTGGGTCAGGTTAATACCTCTGTGACCCTGAGCCATAAATATATTTACACATCATTACACATCAACAGACACACACTTGAACTCTCTCTGCCTCCCGCGCGCACACACACGCAGAGAGTAGCCGTCCCGTAAAATGCGATGTCACAGTTGCATGCATGAGGCCCTAATTGAATATTTAATCTATCCGGCTAACATTAATATAGTGAGAATAGCGCTAATGTGATCAAGCCTTAATTGAAATGGTGTAAAGGACGATCACACACAAAAGGCAGTGTGTAAAAAATGCACACCAAGACAAACAGACACACGCACACACACACACAAAAATAATGTTCTCATGGCCCCTTTTAGAATCAACGGCATGAATGCTTTTCCCAGTAAAAATGAAGAGGATTAATCTTTTGGTTTGTCCTGGTAAGTATTTGCACCACTTGAACTTTCTACAATGTCGTTACATTACAATAACACTAAACTTAATTTAATTTTATTGGGATTCCATGTAATCGATCAATGAAATGTAGCATATAACTGGTAAGTCTGCAGGAAATAATATATAACGCTTACATTATTTTTACAGATAAATGTCTGAATATACTATTTATCACCCTTTTACTCTGATGTCCCTAAATAAGATTTACTGCAATCACTTGCTTTCAGACATCACAGTATTCATAAACATAGACCACATTTATATAATTTGAATATGAATATCAACACTGCCGTGCTGTCCAGGGCTCAGAAGTTAATTAAAAAAAAACATTATCGAACAAACAGCATCATGAGGTCAGGGTTTGGGAAGGCAGAGTTAGCGTATTAGCGTTCTTTGTACATCTTACAAGGTGTAGTTTAACCCATCGTTTAAAAATTGAAAGAGTTTGGCACAACTTCAGCCAAGATGTCCATGGTAAATTTTGGCTTATACTTTAGCTAAAAGTATTGGCAAAAGTTTCTGATTTTTGATGTGCCACATTGAGGGAAACAGAAAACAGAAAACTCCACCTGAAATTGCTTCCAAAGGTGGTTCTACAAAATATTTACTCAAGGTTGGCTGAGTAGATCTGCATGCCAAACTTTTGAGATTTATTTTGTAAAAAAAAATGTTCAAAGCTATGTGTCCTTTGCCTTACAAACGTGCATTTTTGTAACCGTCTATCAGAAAATCTCAATAAAATTCAGAAAATCTTGTGGTGAAGCTATTGATCATTAAATACTGTTGCAAAGCAGCTACAACAGACAGGATTTGATTTCATAAAAATCTAATCATATAACACCAAGATCTGGTTATTTCTGCAAATTAAACAAAAAACGCTTAGCCCAGCGAGGACGAGTGTGTTGTTTCGGGTTGTTTGTGCTTGAAATCACTCACAATTCCCACGACATTCGGCTTTGTGGTGAACAGCAGATTTAGCCGCTGTCGTCGTTCTGCCGCCACACTGAGGTGTGGACGTTTTATCCCACTGCTTTAAGATCTGAAGTGCCTCCTGCTATCCTTCCTCCACTGTTTGGAGATAGCGTCTGTGTGCTGATGCGGACTGGTGGTTGTGTGTGATGGCTTGCATTTCGTGGCCAGAGCCCTGCTGCCAAAAGAACATGTCCAGGATGCACCTTCAGCCCCTTGCGACTGGCCTTTATCAGTCCCCTGCTGCCATCACCTCCCTGCAGTCTTTCGACAGGTCAAGAAGTGTCAGTCTGAGGCGCAGTTGCTTTTCATCATCCCCGTCATCTTAAGCTGATCAGAAAAAAAACAACAAAAAAAACCCTTGATCCTTTTTCCAAATTCTGAATCACAAATGTTGAGAGTAAAAAAAGTAAAAAAAAATAAAATAAATAAAAATAAAACAACAACAGCAAAAGAAAGGAAAAAATGATTTGTAAATGCGTCGCGTTTTGCTGTTATTTGTAGGCAGACTTGGTTATCTTAATGTGCTCACCAATAGTTCAAGCTCCCTAAATAAAGTCTGGCATTGCAATCTGCAGCTGTTTTTGAGCTCGTTGGAAGGGTCAAGAGGATGTAATCACGGGTCATGATGACACATTTCAACTTTGACACTTGGTTAAGCCCCTCACCAGATAACTTGGG